AAAACTGGGGAGGAGAACCGAGCCCGCGGCGTAACGAGCGTGTCCTCGTTACCTTCCCCGTCACCGCTGTGCGGCCTGCAGCAGTGCCTGCCGCCCTGCCGGGGCCCGGTGCGAGGCAGCTGTCGGGATACGGGCTGTCCCAGCAGCGTGACCCCCGGCAGGCTCAGGGCAGGAGCTCCCAGAAGCCCATGGCCGCACCTGTAGGTGCTGCTGCAGCATCTGGTGTGGGGACGAGCGTGACAGAGATTCTGGTCAGAAGGCAGCGTGATGGGGAGGACGCACCTCAGAGTGTCATGGTCTGCGAGGGGCTGGAGTCTCAGCCCCGGCTGCTGTTGGCCGAGGAGATCTTCTGCAGATAAAGAAACGTGTCTCGCAGCACACCCTGTCCTCTTGCAACTGGTTGCAAACTGGTGTCTGGGACTCAGAGGGACATGAAGCCTGTGCCTTGGCTGCCTGTTTGTCAGGGCTCCAGGTGGAATGAAGTAAACTGGGCAGAGTACAAGAAGCACCTCAGCGTTAAAGCCTTGGTACACCAGGACATGTTTGCGAGGACGTGATGATCTCTTCTATTAGAGGAGATGGCTGGACTGTGTCCTTGTTTGTTTTCACAGGAATGAGGAGCTGTCTCCAGTTATCACTGTGCTTTTTCCCCGTTAGGGGGAAGCAGCATCATTGTCCCTCATGCTGGAGATGAGCTCCAGCCAAGCCAGTCTGGCTGGGAGGGGAGGGGTGTGTGGGAGGTTTCTGGGTGAACGGTGGAGCTACATGGCTTTGTGTTTCTGAGTGTACCTCTTCACCCCGGCAGAGAAAAGTAACCTGACAGTGGATGCGGTGAAGCTGCACAATGAGCTGCAGTCGGGGTCCCTGCGTTTGGAGCGGACAAGTGACAGCGCTCAGTGCCGTATGGAGGAAGATGATGCTGCAGAGGCCGCCACGGAGAGGTCCTCTGGCACCTTCCTGAGCGGGCTGAGTGACTGCACCAACCTCACCTTCAGCAAGGTCCAGCGCTTCTGGGAATCCAACTCTGCTGCTCACAAAGAGGTCTGGGCAGGAGCAGGGCTCGGGGGTGCGGGGTCTGGTGGGGATGGCTCCCCAGAGGCAAGGCTGAGGGCGCTGACCTGCTCCGCTTGCTGCTCGTAGATCTGTGCCGTGCTGGCGGCCGTGACGGAGGTGATCCGCTCGCAGGGGGGCAAGGAGAGCGAGACGGAGTACTTTGCTGCGCTGGTGAGTGACAGTGGTGGGGAGGAGGCGTGAGGGGAGCTGCTGAGGGCAGCATGGGTGGCCGCTCAGAAGGGTTGGTGGAGGAAGGTGCTGAGCTCATAGCCAACTCCCTGAGTGTCCTTCAGCAGAGACGTTGTTGGGCTGCTCCTGGTTTCTCTGCCCCTCTCCCCAAGGGTTGGGGTTGGGGAAGGGCTGGCCTGGTGTGGACCCCTTGCTCACCCGTCCTCTGTTCCCAGATGACCACGCTGGAGGCAGTGGAGTCCCCTGAGTCAGTGTCTGCTGTTGCCTACCTGCTTAAATAGCCAACTCCCTGAGTGTCCTTCAGCAGAGACGTTGTTGGGCTGCTCCTGGTTTCTCTGCCCCTCTCCCCAAGGGTTGGGGTTGGGGAAGGGCTGGCCTGGTGTGGACCCCTTGCTCACCCGTCCTCTGTTCCCAGATGACCACGCTGGAGGCAGTGGAGTCCCCTGAGTCAGTGTCTGCTGTTGCCTACCTGCTTAACCTTGTCCTAAAGCG